AGTTAGAATAAAAATGAAGAGTTAGGATTGTTTACAAATGTGTGCAACACATGATTGATTGTACATTATTAATCGTCAAACATTTTTTATGCACAACATTTAATGTTTAGACTTCAATGCCTTTGAATTGTTCATCGGACTTCAGTAATATTTTTGTATTGGCATGTGATATCACTTTGGACAATGCCACATAAAGTTGGTCATGCGAGAAATCTATTCTCAAAGATATACATCTACATTTGGATTTGTTTGGCCTTGAGGTTTATTGATTTTCATCGTGAAACATATTCGAATTGGAATTTGTTCTCTTTAGCTTGAATGAGAACATTTCATCTTCAGACAGATATAGATGAATCATTGGCAAAAGTACCCTCTTTGCAACATGTTTACCAACAGCTATTTCGACATCAATGACATTTAACTGAAAAATTTTACATATCACTCGGGTGTCGTTACACAATTCATTTGATGGGTCCAGATTTCGTAACAATATTATCAGCATCGAACGTTTAGTCGTAGGTAATGAGGAGGTAAACCACTAAGGTGTTCAAGAATTCCACAGATAGAAGTTATTTATATCGTTTATGGCTTCATTACAACTATAGTAAATTTTCTCTTCTGCATGGAAATCGGTCGATCAAATAATCATTAATCTTATCGACACTCTCATTTCTTGTGGATAATATTGTCCACGAAATAATATAGTCTGATTCAGATCTATTAATTTCATAGGATAGAAAGATTACATTTTGTTTTCGGCAAATAATTTTCGGACGACTCTTATTTCTATTTCGAAGAATATTCGTTTCGGCGATTAAAGTTTGGATAAGTGTTTGGTGAATAGTTATTTACACAATATGATAGTACTCGGGCAATGTGTGATGACACAGAAGTATAAGTATCATTAGATATGAAATTTTTAAGTTAAAAACCGAATCGGAACCGGTTGGAACCGATTAGTGGTATTCAGTCAGGTTCCCGGTTATCCCAATTTGTCATTTTTAATTTTTGGTTTTGATCTTGTTCGATCTGGTTCCGGTACCGAACACCTTCTTAGAAAGCACACTTCATAATAGAACTGAACCAAACCGAACCGGAGCTAGTTAGTGGTATTCAGTCCACTTTTCGGTTCCCCATTTATTCCTTAATCGGTTTTCGGTTCTTTTCGTTCCGTCTGATTTCGGCCGGTTCCAGATCTATTTACATCGCTAAGTATCATATTCTCTTTCAAGAATCATATAATACCGGGTCATCTTATCCACTAATCCAAAATTATAACATATTACTATCGTTTAGATCAAATTTTTATATGTAAAATAACATGGTTTTGTAATTAACAAAAACTCCTATTATTCAAATTATTGAAAATATTCAACTAAATGACCAAATAAAACATTATAATCTCATAAGAGGCTTTTATCATACTTGTAAAAAATTGAATTATTAAAACTTTTTAATACATGTTGGAAATGTGTTGTTATTTATTTTCGTCATTATTTTAAGTAATAGAAAATTGAATTATAAAACTATTTGATACATATTGGAAATGTGATGTTATTTACCAAAGTTTTCAAACATGCCAAACATATTAAATATTTATCTTCTTAGATTTATATTAGAACAAAATTACAACTACAAATATTAATAAACATAAATTATATAGACATAAGCAACAACAATTTACAAAATAAATTTTAAACAATAAAGAAGACCAATATATAGATATACACAACAACAAACATAAATTATATAAAGTTTTTGTACAAGGGGCTTATTAATACATAAAACAACTACTTTTCCTTTAACTATTTTTTCCTAAATTAATACTATTTATAGAGAAAATAGCAACCTACTTCTATTCTTCTATTTTCTATCAATATAACAACATTTTTTTTAAATTGAACTACCATGAGAAAATCCAAAAAGTATTTGCATATTTGTATCCATGATTGATAAAATATTAAAAAAAAAATGAGCAATATAAAAATTAAACATTAGATAAGGTAACCAAATTAGAAGCCTTAAATAGTTAAATTCTTGTAGAAAGGCCAAGAACATAACTTACCTTCGTATCTTTATTCACCGATCTACTTCCTGCATTCAAAACAAATTTATATAATGAGGTTATTAGACATGACAATAGTAATTTTGTTTTTTTAGTTTTGTTTTTCTTTATAAAAAATGAGAAGATTATTTTTCGTCTTTGGTTTCTTACACGCACTTCTGCTAACAAAAGTATCACTTTCTTTCGTAAGTCCTAAACTTTAATATTTTTTTTACTTACCTGATATCTATATCCCAAAAGTGCTAAACTTTGATATTTTTTTTACGTACATGATATAAGAGATGGATATCATATAAGTAACAATCCAATGTGACATTTGCTTAATGCAAAAACGGTAATAATAGAGAGTACATGTTTCTTAATTGGACTAAAATACCCCTCCTTTGTTTCTTTTTGTTCTCTTTTTTATCATGTTCTTCATTCCGCATATTGAATCAAGCAGGCCTGATTACTCAATATCCAACCAAATATGAATGAATTCATGATGGAATTGTCACCTTGAAATCTATAGCCGACTGATGAAAATAAGTGTCAGACCTATAAAGTGCCAACTCTTGCCTAACGAAAATCAATTATAATAAACGTAAATACGAAACAAATGGAATATTCCATGTTAATCCAAATACTAATACACACACATTACACATCACACATAGCACACACACAACACATATCGCATACACAAACAAACATACCACACACATCAAACTTTATAAATTCAAAACAAAATAATAATCTGGATCCAATAAAATCAAATTCACGTTAGTTTAATATATTTGAAACCTAAAACTTAAATTTCAAATCTAAACTTAAATTGAAATGACATCTAAGGGTATAGTACATGTGTCGAAAATTGAATCCAATCAAGCACAACACGATATGGCATGCTACATTCAAAAGGCAACATAACCCACATTGAAGAAGCCTTGTAACATGTTCCAGTCTAAGGCCCAACACTTGATCTATGCAGGAATTTCTTGCTATGGATACGCCATTCTGTCACCTGTCTCCAATGTTCAAACATAGTCATAACTGAAACATATGACACACACAATAGTCACACATTAGACATACATGATCAGGGTAATCTGGTGGGACTGTAACTCAGAAGCAACTCCTTCCACATCACCATCTTCAGTCCCATCAACAACCCCAATTCTTCCACCATTACCTTTTTTACTGGTTCGAGACAAAAAAACCCAAATATGAAAAATATAAAATTTTCATAAATTTCAAACTATTATTATCATCTTCACAAGTTACAGAAGACCATTTTAATATGGTAAATAAAGATAAAATTTTACTTGAAAATATAATAGAGAGGAGAAGAAACTAAATAACATAAAAAATTCTTAACACAACAAATCAAGTAATCAACAAATAAGCCCTGCAAATAGATCAAATAAAATATCGATCATCAAAACATCCAAACATGTATTATTAAAAATAAAGATCAAAACCAAAACCAACCTCAAATTTGTTCATGTACTCAGAAGATTTTCCAATATCTTAAATAATAGTAATCAATAAACACTAAAGAAAAATAATTAAACCCCATTAATGTGCAATTTATAATATACAAAGAACACCTACTATTGAATCAAAAATTCTTTTCATCAAATTGTGATGACCCACATCTATATAAGTAACTAAAAACGATGGAAACCAATGTTAGGGTTAAAAATATTTGAAGTTAGTTACAGGGATGGAAAACTTACATAAAAGAAGAATAAATCAATGGTGCCTTTTCTTCTTCAAAGCTGAGACGTAATTTTGAGAATTTTGGCTAAATCTATAGAGAGAGAGAGAGAGAGAGAGAGAGAGAGAGCAAATAAACATGAAAAATATCTTGTTAGTTTGAACCCAATTTAAACAATAGTCGATTAACCTGAAGACCAAAAATGCAAAGCAGTCAAGATCTACCAGGGGAGGGGGAACGGTAGCAACGATAATGCGTTCTTAGAATACTAAGAAAGATGTAGTAGAGTAATAGCATCTCTAACCTGATACCGATTGGGAGAGAGATTATAGGTTGGAATTTCTTTGAACCGTATTTTTTGAACCTGACGACAGTGACCGAGCTTCCAAGGTAAGAGAAGGAGAAAGTGAAGTAGGAATCGTCGATTGGTGTAATCGATATAACATCACTTCACGATTTCTGTTGGTTTCTTGTAATCGAAATCTTCGCCATCTCGATGTGATCGGAAAATAAATCAACAGAACCTTTTATGTGACTTTCATCGATTCTATGGTGACCATAGAGGCATAGACAGAGAAAGAAACGGTGAGTGGTGGTGGTGGGTTTATCAGACGATGGAAGGTAGTCTGTTTAGCAGCAAGGCAAGAATGGTGGTTGGCAGAGGCTATCAGATTTTGTGGTTAGGGTTTTCCATGAAAAAATTTTGAATAAGACACCATGGGAGAGTACGGAAGACCAACTTTATGTTATTTCGGTGGAGAATGAGGCGAGATTCAGAGTAAGGTGCGGGGATCGGGTACTGGAGTTCTTAAGGGAGTCTTATGTTAGACCGATTTAACCGTTCTTTGAGCGATTCAATTGGCGAATTTGAAGATAATTTTTTGACATTTTCATTTTACAGATAAGATTTAGTTTTTGTTGACGGGATAAGATTTTTTATGCATAAAATAAATGTACATAATGTAGTAAGACTTGTACCTCTTAAAATTCAGCATTTGAGACTAAATGCTTATATATATATATATATATATATATATATATATATATATATATATATATATATATATGTGTGTGTGTGTGTGTGTGTGTTTCCCGGAATCAATCATGCATCCGTGTACCCACGTACGTGTGGCAAAACATATTTACAGACATAATTAATGTGTAACTAGGTGGGGAACCCCCGCATCGGATGCGACAGGTGTTTCAGCAAAATTGAAATATGAACAAAATAACATAGGGGTAGTTTAGTCTCAAAACTGTTAATGATAACAAAACAGATCGATACCCTAAACACATGATTCATGAATTTACCAAACATCAAGGAAAAAAATTGTAATCTAATTGAAGGCGGTAACTATATTCACGATTTGTAGTTAAATCTCACAAAGTGAATGGAAATGAATTATAGATATATGCTCCACAATGTATTAAAGTGATCCAGCCACCAGGTGTTTGACATCACAAATTTATGGGTGCCATACATGGGAATAACCATCTGGTACCTGTCGCATATTACACAAGAAAAAATCATGAGGAGCAAAAGCAGGATAGAAATTTCTCAAGTTTCAAACAACTGACAATTAAGATCTATACCTTTTAGCAATTGAATTCTATACATTTGGGCAACCATCTATTGCATGTCTATTTCTGCATTGAATTGGAAAAGTGACATGTTTGGTTCCCAAGTTTGAATAGATTTTGGTAACCAAACATATCATACAATAAAATCTTGAATTCCAACTACTTTGGACTAAGCTAGAATACTGGAATGGTAAAAAAACAATATATATATATATATATATATATATATATATACATGTTCCTCTGCTATTGAGGAGATTTTGCAACAGGAACTTTACAAACAACAACAAACACTTTTGATAAAATAAAACTCATACCAAAAAAAATGTCGGGAATAAATTAATTTTTTGGGAAAGAGAAGTTGTATATTTAACTAATTAGTAAAAAAAAGGAATTGAAGATTATCATATTATTTATTTGAGGAAAGTTTATGTTTAAGTGCTCATGTTACAATTGAATTGACAATCTTATAAACTTGACACATCTTTTTGTAAGTTCTGCCAGAATATACCAAATGCAAGAAAAGGTCAAACCTGGCTAAATTACTTCATGATATTGATTATGAAAGGCTTCAAATCTCAGAGGTAAATTATTGGTATGTGTTCCCCTCATCCATGTGCAATACACTTTAATCCTTATGACTTTAAAGAACCCCCGTTGGAATATACCAAATGCAAAAAAATATAGTAGTCCAAGTTATGAATATGAAATACTATTACATTAACATCAATTACCCATGTATCAACTTTGGAAATTGTCATTGAAAATAAATATGAAGATTGCAAAATTTCACATGAATATATGTTCTATTTTCAAAGGAAATGTACTCTAAAGTAAAATACAAAATGATCCCAACTATCAGCCTCCTACGTATGTTTATTGGCAATAAAATTAATAAATAATTAAATATTCATAATCAAAATTGCATATAAAGCAAACAAACCTTCTTTAGTGCAGCATTGAGTTCCCTTCTTATTCCACCTGGATATACATGTTTAATCATATAAATGTTATAAAGATTTGATTTTGATTAAAGAATGGAAATATATAAAAAAAAAAGTGGCGTTTAATTGTTTATTGTATAACCATCATTTGGTTCCAAGTCTCTTTGCTTTCTTGAAACAATTCATTGCAACATCTATCTCACTAAGTGCCATATGTGCCTATATGAACAGAATTATTTGTTTTGCCAACAATTAAAGATCATTCTATTAAGTGAAATTGGTTTTTATAAATGTAGTTTATGAAATGACTAATCTGACCTTGGCGAAACCAAACTCTTAGATTGTTTGCACGATCACACAAAGCAAATTTTGTGTCCAACAATGGTCCTTTCGCATCCCCTATTTTCAACTTACAAGCCTGAGGGGTAAAAATGGAATTTTGGGTCATTAATTGAGATAGGATTTATATTTCGCAGGGGTTGTTTCCTTTTTTCTCTCATTAGGTAAAGTAGCTAAACTGTTACTTACGATAAAACGCACTACATATAAGGTTTGTTTTTTTTCTAGACCGAATTAACCGACTGAATATTACTAAATGACCAACAACTACAAACAATGGAAATTACAACTGGAAAATAAATATTTCATTAGATCAAGATAGCTATTTCATATAATAAAACATAAATATTAGCAAAAATTAACAAATGAAAAGGAGATAAGAGAATAAAATTACCAAATTAAGAAAATAAGATTGGTGTGCAAAGAAGCAGGACACCAATCAGAAGCCGGTGACAGCAAAATTTTATAAGAATGCCATGTCTGCCTTTCTTTACTCTGAATGACATAGTATTCTGTCAACAAAGGATTCGATAGTTATAAATTCAATAAATTAATTGACGGAATAAAACTTAGAGAAGAAATTAACTTGATGGGATGTAATGTAATTTGACGACCTATAATTGTTATAATTGGAAGTTCCAGGATAGAATTCATACTTGCAGTTCCATTGACACCTCCCACGATCACCATTCATGATTTTAGTTCTCAACGTTAGAAAAGAAAAGAAGAAATAAGACATACCTGCATAGCAGTGATGAACTCTTTAAAACCAAAAAAAAATCCTTGACGCTTGGAATCTGAGTTGTCCTTTGTACTCTCCAAGATAGTGGTTTCTGTTCACAGAATCCTATGGACAGAAAAACAAAGCATCAGTTTACTTCAAAAGACCCTTAAGCCAACTCGATTCCTACCTTCACACATGCTCCCTATCCAACAATACCCGATTAATCCAACAAAACCTGAACATAATAATAAACACACAACTATGAGAAATTGAAAGTCGGTTACTTCACACATGCTGGTGATGGTAGGGTTCCTTCAGCCAAAGTCGGTTACTTGTATAATCTATTATACCTTATAATAGATACATCTTTAATATCTCCTCTGTTTCGAACTGGGTTACACAAGAAGGCGACAGAGCAGGTTGTTTGGAGGGCATCGGCTGTGAGGTTTGGTGGGTGTAATGAAATCTGTAAACAACTGATTGGGAGATCGAGGAGGCATAAGTATATGAAACACGAAAAATGAATCGAAATTGAAAGAGGGAAAACGGGGTAGCGTAACAATAAAGGCAGTGGAAGCGTGAAGAAGAATGGTCTGAGGCCCTGGAAGTTGATGGGGTAACGTCGATAAGATGAGTGTGGATGTGGCCGGGGTCGAAGTAGACCTGCACGAAATTAGGGCTCGCCGACCTCTCCAGTGGTGGAGGCAGACTCATCGGAGTGTTCTGTGGCGGAGCCGGAGTCGGCGGCGTCGGTTGTGGCGGAGCGATAGAAGCGAACTCAGCGATCGATCGACTGCACTCTTCGGTGGTATAATAGAAGAATCGACAACTCAGAACTCCTATGAGTTCGATTTGTGTGTGGAAGAGTGGAAGGATCGGGAAGCAGAGGAAAAACAACAGAAGGTTTGGATAAGGAACGGTGGAAGGAAGAAACCCGAAGGATCGATTACCTGCACGTGTGGGGATAAAATGACCGGCAAATCGACACTATTCCTAAAGATGGTCATCTTTAATATATACCGGTAAAGAACGCACGGCTACGCCCCTTTTGGGGTAATATGGAAAAAATTGACCAACTTTAAAAAATATGTGCTGAAATTGTAAATCACCATAAATAGGGGAGAAAGTCGACAACCCCTAAAATTAGATGTCAAAAGTGTACAACGAAAAGAAGGGACATTGGTGGAGAAAATCCAAAAATGTTGTGGCAATAATGTTAAAGTTTTCAAAGTTGGAAAAATATGGTGGCAAAATTTTAAAGGAAGTTTTCTGTGTTTTTTTATGTCAAAATGTAAAAGTTTTGACTACAAGGACGAAAAGTGTCAAATTCATTAAAGATTTGTGGCAAAAACACCAAAATGTAAAACCTTTGACTGCAAGGACTAAAAGTGTCAAAATCATTAAAGATTTGTGGCAAAAACCTTAAGGCACAAAAACTTAATTAAAAGGCAAAAATGTAAAAATTTTGATTTTAAGGACTAAAAGTGTCAAATTCAGTAAACTTTTATGGCAAAAACCTAAAACCTAAAAAGATACTATTCCTAAGCTCCTTTGGATTTAATATATATATATATATATATATATATATATATATATATATATATAATAAGAATGGTTTTTTTTCTTCAGCTCTTTGGCAGCTTTGTTCAAGATCCAATTTCTTGGAAATCAATATTAGTGTTTGTACGACGCATGCCAGCATGCAGTCACGGACTCACGGTCTCATGGTTGTGATTGTGCAAAAACCGATATTTGGTTCTAATATTTTCTTTTATTGTTCAACTAGCCCTGGAATGCGGTTTTAATTCTAGTCTTGGAGTAATCTTTTGTTGGTGTGTAATGGCTTTATTTACTTGTTAAATTAAAGTTAAATAGGGTATATGTGGTTTTGCTTTAATTCTTTTTTATCTAGTACCTCATCTATAACTTTAATCATCCAATCTTTTTTTTTTTTTTTTGTTCTTTAACCAAAACTGGCAAATCTAACGATTTGCTTTTTTATCCAACTGTAGTCAAGTTGTATATAATGACTTATATGAGAATAAAGAAGCCACTTTACTACTTATCCAACAGAGATAGCATTATCTTTGTGTTAAAAACTTTTTATTTGGTTCTTTAGTTTCTCAGGCGTCCCTTTACAAGTCGATTTCTTTTTAACCTCTGGTTATCCAACGTGTTAGGGGCCGTTTGATAGTTGATGTCTGGAAAAGTGTTGTATGGGAAAGTGCTGTCTGGGAAAGTTTTCTGACTGGGAAAGAAACAATGCTGTTTGATTGTACATATGACTGACTGTGATGAATGATGAAAAATGACCATATTACCCTGCTGTTCTATTCTGTGATGGATGAAGTTGCTGAATGATTATAAAAACATATAAATTATCATACAAAATCAAAATTACACAATAATCATTTAAAAATCCGAATACAAATTGTCTTACAAAGTAATTAAACATAAATCAATCAAAATCCAAATAGAAACATACTGAAATTGAAAATAACATACTAATTTGCATACATCTCTAAAGTAAACCGGATGAAAGTAGTTGATTAGCAATCTGCTCACGCAAAGTAGTCATGTATTCAACGGCTTCTGAACCCCACTCTATGCATTGTGTGTTTTCGCCTTCAATTCCTCCACCGTGAACATCAAGATTAACCATAACGTTCTCTTCAAAATTTTCAAATAACTCATCTTGGATATTGTATTTCCTTATAAAATTATGGACCGCGACACAAGCAATGACTATGTCTCTTTGTATCGGAAAAGGATAAGGAGCCATTTGTTTTAAGATTGGGAATCTCGCCTTCAATACACCATAAGCACGCTCAATAACATTTCTAAGTTGTGCATGAGCAAGATTGAACCTTTCTTCTTTAGTTAAAGGTCGACGTCCTCGAAAATCGGCTAACCAATACCTAGTGCCACGGTACGGAGCCATGAACCCACGAGTGTTGGTATATGCGGCATCACAAATATAATATTTATCTGTAGGTGAGTGACATTTATTATATAAAGAATATAGATAATAAAATTTATATAAAGAATATAGATAAACTTATATAAATATTAGAAACCTGGTGGAGGGAATGGAAATCCGGAAGACGGATTGAATGCAACTTCTTTCAAAACTCTTGAATCATGTGTTATGTCTTCCCATCCAGCCCATACAAAGGTGAATATCATATCAAAATCACAAATTCCTAATACATTTTGATAACATTCACCTTTTCCTCTTCCCCTATACCTCGTTTGTTGATCAACGGGCACAACTGCATGTACAAGAGTTCCATCTAGTGCGCCTATTGCTCCGGAAAATATAGCTTTTAACCGTCTTTGTCGTTCTGAGGCATGTCTTGTTGGATTAGGATTTGTTGGTACTATAATTTCTTTTGCAAAACACATCATTGCATTTAAGACCTCATGAAAACATTGATGAATTGTTTGTGTGGAGTGATGAAATCTTCCTTTAACCGCTCGAAAACGTTCATTATGTCCTATAACATGTAAAAACATAGCCATCTTCTCTTCAATGCTTATCGTTCTACTAGCTTGCAACCAACTTCTTTGCGTAAAATGATTGCATAATAATACAAATGCCTCTTGTGTAAGACGCATCATATCGTAACATTCGATAGGGTCCCCGTGTATCAAATCTTGCGTATACGCATACCCGCTCGAATCGTTATCTCTTATTCTATGAATTTTTTTTAGCCTTGGCCGGTTTAACCTCAACCAATACAAGACAAGTAAAAGAAAAGCTAAAGCTTCACCATTAGAAATCATACTTGACCTGTAAAATACAATTACATATAACATGTCAAATATAAAATAAACAACCAAAATATTTATAATATGTCAAATATAAAGTAAATAACAAAAAAAATATTTATCTAATAACACAAAAGTGATGCACCAAAACCTAACATCCAAAAGTCATGCAACAAAGAGATAGTAAAAGTAATCAAATGTAACATCTAAAAAGTCATCAAAGGTAACCAAACTTCATTCCTACACTCCTCACCCACGACTCACAAGTAGTAGGCGTAAGTCGTAACCAAACTTTCCTAATATCGGCACTTTCAGTAAATAACAAAAGAGCGGTCTTGTGTCTTTCATCTTCTTCTCCCCATCCCATTTTTGCCAATTTCTCCATGCATGCATCTATGTCCTTATCCATTTCACTTCTTTGATTTTGTTCACTTCTTTGGTTTTGTTCCACAAGCGTCCTTGCAAACTTGATGATTTCCTCCTCAACTTCTAGTGCCCTTGCGTTTCTCTTGTTTCCACCAGCTCTTTTGTTTCCACCCACTCTCCTATTTTTCGAATGTCCGGAGGATTCTTCACTTGCAGCTACATGTTGGGTTGAGTCGGGAGTTTCCGTTTGGGTGCATTGAACCTCATCAAAGTCATGCTCAGTGTATTCAGGAGTAGGACGGGGGAGTGTAGAAGATGGCCTCCAACTATCAAAGCCGGTAGAGGTTGCACCTTCAAATAATTGAGTGCACAGATCAGGGAAAAGGAGGGGCACAGTTTTCAAAGCTCCTACAATCTTGTTCAACTGTTTAACATTTTGAAATTATCAAACCATTAAAAGAAAATAATCATATTTCTACTATTTGTTTTAAAATTAGACGAATATATATTACCTTCGTCTCCATCTCCCATTGTTCGTCAGTCAAATTAAATTTATTTGTTAAAGGATCATATATATTTCCGGTTTTGCTTTTAAGTTTCACCCAAGCTTGATACTTTCCTTTGTAGTAGTCGTAGTGGTTTCTCATCTGTTTTTGGTCAACGACTAAACCGTGTTCCTTTAATAATTTTTCGGCTACAACTTTCCATGAATTTGGTTTGAGGGCACTACCCTCACAACCATTTGTGGTTACTTCTTGGATACAAGCATCAAGAAAAGTTTTGTCTAAACTTTGGTCCCAAATGATTCTAGATTTCCTTTGTGACATGTCTATAATAAAAAAAACAACAAATATAACCAAAAATCAACATGTATATACAAAAAAAAACAACATATAAAACTAAAAGGCAGCATACATATACAAAAAAAAACATATATAACCAAAATTCAACATTTATATACAAAAAATAGCATATAAAACCAAAATTCAGCATGCATATAAAAAAAACTGCATATATAAACAAAAAACAGCATGTATAATCAAACTTCAGCATGTGTGTACAAAAAAACAGCATATATAGAACCAAATTTCTGCATTTATATACAAAAAAACAGCATATATGTTCATAATTTCAGCATATATGTTAAAAAAAACAGCACATTTATAACTAAAATTCTGCATGTATATATAAAAAACAGCATTTACAATCAAAATTTTACATATATATACAAAAAAAACAGCATATATATTCATTAGTTCAGCATGTATGTTCAACAAACAACATATATGTTCACAAAAAACAACATCCTGTTCACAAAAATCAGCATATTTGAACAAAAATCAACATGTTCTAATAACCACAACATGAATGTATGCTTTAATAACCACAAAAACATGTTCTAATTTTGATTTCAACCACAAAAACAAGTATAATGCACAAATTCTAAAAAATAAGAAATCTGGAAAAAAAAAACTTGTTCACAAAAACATGTTTTGATTTTGATTTCACTCATAATTTCGAAATCAAGAAAAAAGAAAGATTAATTGAAAATCCTTGCTGATGGATCGAGAAAAAAAAAAGAAAAAGATGAGAATCTTGTTGATGGATCGACAAAAGGAGAAAACGAAACCTGTGGGGCAGAGCAGTAGGGCGGCGGTGGTCTGCTTGGCGGGAGGAGGTTGGCCGGCGACGGAAGATGGATGCAATGGAAGGTGGGTAGAGTCGATGATGACCGATTGAAGATTGCAGCGACGATGTATGCATTTTTTTTTTGTTAGGGCACAAATGTCCAATGCGTCCTTCTTTTCCATTCAGACTTCTTTTTGTGGCTGTGTGGGA